GGAAGCAATCGCCCTCCGTGGAAAGCGTTTAGGAAACTCGCGCCGGGGCCATGGAGGACACTTCAGCTGGTAGAGCCACGCGGTCGCTGAGCTATAACTTTGCTGCAGTCGCGCTTCTTCCTCTGCGCACTTTTTTATTGTTTTTTTTTTTAGTCTTGTTCGGCTTGAGATCCTGCAGCTCCTGTAGTCGCACGAGCTTGCAGTCAAACGCAGAACGCAGACGAGAGGCAACAGTTAATTTCGGCTGGCAACTCGTTGCCGATGACAACTGTCGAGCACTTCCAGGAAAATGCTTAAGGTGCCGCCACGCCACATGGAATGGACCAGATTGATCTACACGACACCAAGAACTAAAAGCATTGTTTATTACAAGAAATGCAAAGTTTGACCAACAAGGAGCAGTTACACTTTCCCTTCCGAAATGTGAATGCTAATCGAGCGGTTCAGCCGCCTGATGTGGACCTGTACATCTCAAGGCACTAACCCAGCTTCCCTTTGTCTCGGTCTCGCCAAGATCCAACCTACGCAGCTGCATGTTTTGGCATGTAACCTCCATGCATGCAGTGCTGGCTCCTCCAGGGTTCAAAACACTCCTTCCAATTTCTTTGCCAATATTGTGGATGTAGAAATGCCCAAAAAATTTTGAACATTTGCAAACTGTGTCTGGGTGTTTCTAGTGTTAAAAGAAAATAATAAAAACATACTAGTGATACCTATTGTACATGGCATCTTCAAGTTGAAATCAACACATTTCTTCATTAAAGTTCATCCATATCTTTCCATCCCATTCATTGTTTCTCAAGTATAATATAACCTAGTAACAGGTATGATGACTCTCCCAAATATTTAAGTCGTTTCAAATTGGTAACTGTACTACCCATCAATAAACTGCTCTGTCTAACTTCAAACTTACATCTTTTACTTAAAATGCTCCACTCAGTGTCAGAATTCTGCATAGAAGCATTCTGTTATATCTTTTCCGAAAAGACTTGGCCAAATTAACATTCTCACTCAAGAATGTTCAGTTCTCTTCTCACTATTCAATTTTGTGCTTTAGCCTTAGTGGTCATTGCATTCAACATAGTGACGATATCAACATGTTGCACTGTCCTATTTTAGTAGGCTCTATCTATACTTGTAATTTCGTTTTGGAATCAATATCATGGGCGAAAATAGAAAATACCATATGATGACAACTCATAAACAGTAATGAATCTAGATTTATTTTTATTAATAATAAATAACTTAATGTAATTAAAATCTTTTAATTTTTTAGTCTTCTTAAATATATCAATACTATTTATTAATGGTAAGAGGAGGAGTTGCAATTATAAGAAATGAGATTGATGATGATTATTTTTTCAAGGGAACAGCCTCAGGAACAGTTCTACAGTGATGAATGGTCAAGCTATGAGTACAAGCAAGGGAAATATCTATTACCTGGATTTGAGAAATTGAAGGGGAAAAAACTTAACATCAGGTAATACTAAACATTTCAGTTGATTTTGATAGAGAAACTTTTTGGAATTCCTTGACGCTATATAAGAGAAATCTTCACAGATGTAGTGATAAATACATCAATTTAAACAACATATTGCAGTGATTATGTTGCCTATTCTTCAGTGGTTATTGGTATTCTTCCACGTATTTCTTTATTTTCTAATTTGAATACTATATTTCATTGAAATTGTCATTTTAGAACCCTAATCCATGTCACCAATTAAGTACAACCTGCTTTTTATGTTGCCTGAATTTACATTTTGCCACACTTTACCAACCTTTTTTCCCCGGAGTTCCCTTCAGGTTTTTCTTGTTCATGCTGTTAAGATTATCCCCATTTGTTACACTTTCGAATATTTAATTTTTTTTCGTGCATTTTGCACTTTTCAAAGACCATTATGTACCTGTGAATGCAATTTTTTCAAGATATTTTGGCTTTCTCTCACGGTTAGATTTATACTGTTATGATACAAATTCTAATCGATCAAGGACTATACTTTGAGAGAAAATCGGCAGAAGGTTTTCAGCGCTGGCATTTACCACGGGATAGATGAAAGGACAGATAGACTTTTTCCATAAAGACGATTTTTCTGTATCAAGGGCCACAAACATGGATTCTGGCTACATCACATGTTAGAGGAAAGTATTTATTGCTAATGGCAACAGAACGTATCCGCTTTATTGTAGTGAGGCTTGGCAAATAAAAAGGTTTGGCTGAAAATTGCCGTTTTGTGGCACAACGATTACCCAAGTTTCATCTTCTTATCGTTAGTGCGAGTAAGTAAAATAATTAAAATATTTGAATTTATAAGTGGAAATATTAACTAAAAGTGGATTGTAAAATTTCAAGTATTTATTTTTACCATCGTCCCTCTATACATTCCGCGATTACACCATTTTCTTGGCTCCTTGAAAAGGTAAAAGAGGGGTTCTACTGTCTATTATCAATTGTAATTTTGAACTACTTGTGCAGTGCATTTCCCTTGCCATTACAATCCTTTTCTCACATCATTTATTTACATATTACAGTTTTTTTTGTCATTACTTTCTGTACATAAAATACGGTTAAAGATTGCAAAAAAATAATATTGGAGGTGGTTGCAATAAACACAATTTTGATTGTGTGTGGATACCAAAATGAGAATTGATTTAAAGATTAAAATATTACAGATATACTTCTCCTGACAGAGATGTCAATGGGATTTGGTAACATTTTTTAAAAAGAAACGCACATTTCAGAATTTAAAGTGAAAAACTTTTTTACATTTTTGCATATAATCCAAGCTGAAGCTTTCAAAACATTTACAGTAAGCACACAAATTGAAATTTAACAGACTTGCAAACACCATCCAAACAACCCATATGGCATTGTCATTCATTCTGAAACAAGTAAAAATTAAAACAAGTGAAAGTAGTTACAAAAAACACTGACACAAGGACCCACGAATTACACACTGTGTAGATGCAATTTTTACTTCCCTGATGCATATCAATGTTGATGCTTTTCCATTTTCATCTGTGTCAATACCAACTTACACTGGCAGTTGTCCAGTTCCCATTACAACACCAAAAGCTCTGCTCTTCAGATTTTCTTTATTATATTATTATTATTATTCATTATTATATTATTATTATTATTATTGTTATTATTGGCGTTAGTCCATTACTGGACCACGGCTACACATTAACTTGGTGCTAATTCTGCAGGATCAGCTTTTTCAGCTGTATCTGTGGAATTACAACAAAGTTGTTACGCCTGGAGTGTGAATTATGAGAATGATAGAGAATGGATTGAGGAAGGTGATAGGCATATTTGTGAAAGGGATCGTGGACTTTTT